ATATATATATATAAGTGACAATTTTTAATAAAAACAATGATTTTTGATTTTTCTTATAAAATTTTATTTAATACTTCACGCTATGCAAGCTTAACTTCAACTGCTTTAAAGTTTTTTTCTGCTTCGAGCAGTAAGTTCTATTTTATTCAATTTAATAGTGTTGAGAGAGAGCTTGCATGTCACTGTTATATTTAATGTTATATTTAATTGTTTATAGGTTGTCAAAGGATCATTTTCATTGATCCTACCGACTGCGCCAGTGACAATTTTTAATAAAAACAACAATTTTTGATTTTTCTTATATTTAATTGTTTATAGGTTCTTAAAGGACCATTTTCATTGATCCTACCGACTGCGCCAGTGACAATTTTTAATAAAAACAACGATTTTTGATTTTTCTCTTAAAATTTTATTTAATACTTCACGCTATGCAAGCTTAACTTCAACTGTTTTAAAGTTTTTTCTGCTTCGAGCACTAAGTTCTATTTTATTCAATTTAATAGTGTTGAGAGAGAGCTTGCATGTCACTTATATATATATATATGTAGTTGATTTTATTTAAAACAAAATGTTTTAAGTTTAACAATATTATTGCGTTTATTAATTTTCGGTTTTACAATATTATTTCGTTTATCAAATTTCGGTTTTACAATATTATTTCGTTTATCAAATTTCAGTTTTACAATATTATTTCGTTTATTAAACTTCGGTTTTACTATACCCGAGCCGCAGCACTACTTGTTCCTTCTTTCTACTTTCAACGACTGACTCATCAAATGTGTTCGACGCTAAGGAACATGCATGAGAGTTGCCCTGTTTGTTTACAATTTAGTAGTGATGAAAGGGTTTATCTGTTTAATAAAATACTATTTAACTATTTAACTAATGAGATCCTACAACTCAGCCATCCTATCCTTCATACGACCTCGTATGAATCTTTCCACCTCTTTATGTTTTCTACAACAGCGATTGCTTTACTCGGCCCTTCTGTCCGCCCAATAACAATTTCAAAATTAATGTCTTCTTTTTTCATAATATGGTACTTGATATTAAACAGCCCACCGTCAATTACAGATACTAGTTTTACACTGCCAATCGTTTCGAATTTGGCCTCACCTACGCCATAGAGTTCTCTTCGTTCTGTAATGAACCTCCTTATGGTGAGGGTGTCTAGAACTGAGATAGCTCAGCCACATCCAGGGACCTTACAAGAAAATTTCTACTTACTTGCCGCTGATGTACTAGGTTACCTCTTGATCGTTTTGGTCTCAATTTACAAACGACTTTTATTCAATTCAAATTATTCTTTTCTTTTATTGATTGTATGATTATTAATTCCGAATTATATCTTAATTATTCCTTAATTCCGCAACTAGCTATAACTTATAAAATATGATATTATATACCTAATAACTAAGGTAGCAATAAAAATAAAAAAAATACAATATTTATATAATTTCAAAGCATAAGGTGTAATTTCAAAACAGTAGTATATGTTTAATACAGCATGGATTTCAGCCGGAGCTATATAATTTTAAAGCACAAAATGGAATTTCAGAATAGTAGTACATTTTCTACACAGCATGGATTTAAGCCGCAGCTATATAATTTCAACGCACAAGATGTAATTTCAGAACAGTAGTATATGTTTAACACAGCATGGATTTCAGCCGGTGCTATATAGTTTCAAAGCACAAGATGTAATTTCAAAACAGTACTATATTTTCAACACAGCACAAGATGTAAAAAAAAGCTATCAAATGCTTACCATTTTTCCTGGTTATTCACGAGTATTTTATTTCCATAATTTGCAGGTGGTACTATAATTGAGTGTAAGTGTGTACCTTTTGTGCAGGATGTCCATAGAATACTTTTAGAATCCTTCTATGTACATCCTGTTAAAGCTCTCAGACCAGTATGCTACACCTCACCTATAATTTGCCCCGTTCCCACGTTGCAATACACTACGAGTGATTTGTTGTCCACTTATCATCCACCACAATTTTTAACTCCATCGCCAAAACCCGAACTGTTCTATCCAACGATGGTCAAAAGAGAGAGCGATTTCAGAAAAACATCGCCTTTTATCTGATCTTGGTGACGCTTTTAATTCCGCTATCACCAAGTTTGCATTTTTTTTTGTGTAAGCATTGTTTTTGCATGTTTACAATTTGCGCCCATGCTTATCGTTTTACAAGTCTTTCTATGCGAAATTGTTTTTAATTGTTTACGTCTTGTGTTGTTATGCTTATTATTTGCACAAATAAGTTAGGGCCGCGTGGTATTATGTAACCCTAACTTTCGTGCAGGAAGAATTTGGTCGTTACAGTTCAATATTAAATTTATCAACGCTTCTTTTAGTAATATGTCTTGACGAATGATACATATATTGCATCCTGTATCCACTAACGCATTTGCGTTTAGGGCGTGGTTAATATCAATTTTTTTGAAAATAAGACCTGCCACTTCATAGTGTTCGCTGATTTTTTTGGCTGTATTTTGTTTTTCATTTTTGTGTTTTTACATTCAAATGATCTGTGACCAATCTCGTTACACTTGAAGCATTTGAAATCAGAGCTTGAGCATTTATTTGCCAGATGTGTTTTATCTCCACACTTATAACACCATTTTTCCAAGTTTTTTATATCTTCAGTTTTGTTAACGCAAGCTTGAGATATACTTAACTTTTGGTTTTTTGACTTACTATATCCTTGTACTTTTTCATACACTTGTATATCAGCTTTCAGGTTAGTGGACTGGTACAGTATAGATTTATTGAATCGAGAATCAGTAATTCTTTCGATAAAATAGTCTATCAAGCTAACCTCATTTAAACTTATCTTACTTCCAATCTCCATCAATGAGTATAAATATTTTAAATTTGTTTCATTTGTATGTTTTTGTCTATTCGTTAATCTTCTATGAACTTCTGAGGCATTTAATTTACTTCCGAACTCATCTTGTTAAGTACTCTTAAATGAAACCCAATCTTTAAGGTGCAATTGACTTCTAATAAAAAGTCTAGCAGCGCCCCTAAGTAGCTGTTTAGCATATACAAATTTCTGTAAATCTGACCACCCTACGATCTCTGCATTTAATTCAAATTCTAATAACCATGTCTCAATATCTAGTTTACTATTTCCGCAGAATGTTGTTAAACTATCTACATCTTTAAAGGTAAATTGAGATTTCCTATCTTTACAATCTATGTTGCTTACTGCCTCCCCGTATTCGTCAGCGTCGTCCGCACTTATATTGTCAGGTTTGAAAGGAATAAGCAGTCTATTCTGCAACTCCTTCTTATTTTCTGTCGTTGGAAGAGCTAATTCTAAAAATTTTTTCTTCAGTGCTTCTACACTTAATATCAAAATTTCTGTATCTTTCATTGTTTATCAATTTGAAGGATTTGTTTTTAATAAAAATCGACTTAAATACATTAAAAGGTATAAAAAAAAATTATAAGTGTAATAGTAAAATATTAAAATAAATTATATAATAATTAGTATTATAAATTCCATACGTGAACCCTTCACATAGACTTTCAAAGTTAATATGATGCACAATTTAAGTAACTTCTGTAATTGATTTAATACAATCAAAAATTTTTGTTTGGATCAGCTTCTGCTTATTTTGTGTCTTCATTCTTTGATTTCTTTTTGTTCTGCTGCTTGTCGTCGGCGTAGAGCAACTTCTTTTTATGCCTTCATTCTTTGATTTCTCTTTGTTCTGCTGCTTGTCGTCGGCAACTTCTTTATCAGCTTCTTGCTTTTTTTTTTTGAAATTTATTCACTTTTGTCAAATATTTAATATCTTCTTTCCGAAAATTACCAAGTAATGAACAACGGAAAATATTTAATTGAATATAATTATTCTTTTGTATCATTAAATCACTTCAAATACCATATTATTTATTCATTTATTTCAACAGGATTGTAAGTAATTAAGAATATTGTCTTTATTGATATATATAAGTGTCATAAAAATATATTATCCTTTAAATTTAACGATTTATTCTACCTTTCAATATATATTTAATTATTTTAAATCCTTTGGCGTAATACCCCCCACAGGATTGTAAGTAATTAAGTATATTGTCTTTATCGATATATAAAAGTGGCATAAAAATATATATATCTTTTAAGTTTAGCGATTTATTCTACCTTCCAATATAATTTAATTATTTTAAATCCTTTGGCGTAATACCCCCGCAGGATTGAAAGTAATTAAGAATATTGTCTTTATCGATATATATAAGTGTCATATATATATATATATCTTTTAAATTTTGATTTCCTTGGCGTAATACCACCCAGTTGAATACTCAAGAATACTCAATGCTTCTTGTGTTGAAGGTTTTCTATGCCTTCGCCTTGGCTGTTTACCATTTCCAGCGGGAATAGGTAAGTACTTAACGCGTGGTCTTATTCGATTTAATTTTACAATTTGTGCGCGACATCTTTCTGCACTAATTTCAAATTTCTTTGCTAGGTTGCTCATCTTGCTGCTGCTCACGTTTACGTATCAACTAATGATGCATATCCTTGGATGGGTTTTATATTCTACTAGGACTAGCGGAGCTCATGCTGACTGCCGTTAATTTTGCCGCTAGTAGGTCAATCTCCTTTAGTCATTGTTCGCGATACGAGGTTTGTTATTTTGTTTACATGTTTACTTATTTTTTTTCCTTTTAACTTTCAGCTTTCAAATTTAGGTTAAGAAATTCTAATTAAAGTGTTTGTGTTTTTTTTTTATATTTAAAATTTAAAGTAATAAAAGAAAGATTTTTTTTAAAACCCAATACTAGTGTTATTTCAGTGAATAGTTTGGAATTTTAAATCATAATTAATTTGTATGACTTCGGTGAACAATTTATGTAGGCGGAAATTTAATAAACAAAATTTTCATCCTTTACAAATTGAAAGAAAAACATTTAAGAAGCACTAACAAACAATTTTTTAGAAGTATGCTACGCGAACAGACGCCAAGTAAGTTTTTTCGCCAACAACTGGGTCGAGTGAATGTGGTTTCTTCTAACTTCTACTACTCTGACCTTACCATCCGCTCCTGTTACCGTTCGAATGATGCGACCAATAAGCCATTTCATAGGTGTCAGGTTATCGTCATGAATAGTTACCAAGTCTTCGACCCTTAAATTGCGAGCTGATTTACAGGCCCCTCTTTTCTACATTTTTTACATTTCTTTTTATATGCTGGACAGCTCTTTTGTCCATGTGTTGTCTTTGTCCATGCAGGTCTCAAGCTAATAACCTCTGCTTCTGTAATGTCCATATTTAACTGCATATTAATTGCCTCTACGATATCTCCCTTCGTGGTGATTTCGTCGATATCTTTGCAGACGACACTAATACGTTGTGTTAAACTCTTAACCTTAGCTTGATCACCAAGTGTTTTGTTGATAATATCCTTAAACACATGTGTTTGATCATGCACCCCTTTTTTCCCTAATTGGATTAGTAACTCGCCTTTCTGCGTTCTTCTTATTCTGGAAACTGCGTCACATAGTTGAATAAATTCGGGTTCCGCTTTTACTTTCTTCAGTATATCCGCATAGGAATGCGTCCCATTAGCTGCTATAACTATAGCATCTGGCCTTGATTTTACCGTATCGAATCTAGGTTTTTTTAATTTCTTCCTTATAACTGTTTTCTATTCACCATTTTCAATCCTCTCTGGGTCTGCTCTGTTGAATCCATTTGGTTTGTTACCTGCCGGCTTAACACCCGTAATTATTGAGTCTTGTTCAGAACTTTTACTCATTTGCTTTTTTTTAGGACTGATGAAACTGTTGCCATTTTTCTGATCTACCTTCGTTTTGGATAATGATGTTTGAGTGGCTTGACTCCTTTTATTATTATCCTTAACCACCTCCGTCTGCTCGGCCAGAGCCAACTCGTACAAACATTTTATATCTTCGATAGTATCTATCATTGGTTGGTGTATCGAGCGCCTTTTTCCTTCGTCCTGCATATCTACCAGTTTTTGGATTTGTATACCCAGTCTTATAAACGATTCTGATGGCTTACACTGCGCACCTGTTCCACCTTGTTTACTTCGCTGTTCGTTTCTTGCATTAATCTCCCCTTCCTTAATTGGACTTGTATAGTTATCTGATACAGCAGCCAAGTTGACTACCACTGTATCATTGCGGTAACAGGATATCGACGACCGGGAGCCCGCTTGCTCACTCCCTACAGCCGCCGGCACTGGGGATCCGACCCCCTGCACCGTAAGTTTTATATTTTTCTCCCCTTCCATATTGGTTTTAATTTCGGGGGTCCTACCCCTATCGTTTTATGCCTCCCGACAGGCCTAATAACCAGCTGCCCCTAACATGGGGTCAGACAATATGGTAACAGACGCTTCTGGATTTCAATCTCGGGAAATAGATGCCAGCACATACCTTTCTCGATGATCCTTATGTGGTCACAGAATTTCCCTGGGCGGATTGGAAGTTATACCGCTTCATCTCGGTCGCCAGAGCCTCGTCAGTTCCAACGTGGGTGCACCACGAGAAGGTGAGGTTGGCAGTTAGGTAGGTTGAACTACCCTTTAACACCCCTGCTCGCAGAGTTCTGAAAAGAACTTTTTGTGTGTTGATGAAATAAGTTCTGAAAAGATCCTTTGTATGTTGATGAAATAAGTTCTGAAAAGAACCTTTGTATGTTGATGAAATAAGTTCTGAAAAGAACCTTTGTATGTTGATGAAATATATTTTTAAGTTCTGAAAAGAACTTTTTGTATATTGATGAAATATACTTTTAATTAGTGAACAGTTCTGAAAAGAACTGATCACGTCGGGGTCACCGGTTTAGTATATTCTATACTGCGTTGTATATGAATCGCCAAGTGTATCACTATTGAACACCGTACTACCAGTAGCACCGACTAGCTCGCGCAACCGTGACCGAACGAATGTAACGAATGACTGACTCGTGCACAAGTGCTGTTGCTCTATATATGCATTAATTGCGTGCCCGTGTTTCGTGTTGTTCATATGTTCTAGCATGCACATGTTTGGCTGGTGCTGCGAACGTGCACATATTTGGCTGGTGCTGCGAACGTGCACATGTTTGGCTGGTGCTGCCAAAAGACCTTGACTATATTTTTTTAATATGGTATCTTTAATATGGGAATCATATATAAATTATTATTTTTCTCACACAATACATTTTCAGTTATAATATTATACGAGATCACATTTTTTTCCCTTCTTCGTTAATTTATCTAATTTGAACTGTTTTTAATGGAATCTACAGCGTAATAGGGAATATTAAATATACATTGTTCAGAGCTTTATTGATTTACCTGTTTTAAATATTGTTTATAAGGAATAGTTACTGACACATGTATTATATGAAGGTTTGTCTGAATAAGACCTATGATACGTAGTCACAAATGTATGATTTTGGATAGTTTTTCTGATCCATATAATTTTCCGACAAATAGGTCATTTCAAATTATTGCTTGCACCATATTTCTTTGTAGGGGCCAAAAAAGCTGCAATTTCAAGCGCGGTGTGACTTGTAAGAATTGCATCATCAATTCAAAACAAAAGTTTTTTTTTGTGATAGATATATGACCGATTATAGAATATATCAATATTCTATTTGTTTTAAATCGTAATTTCTGATTAATACTACCAGTTCCGTCAAACGGCATAGTATTATTATTTTGCCTAATAGAAAAATTAATTTGTTGCAAAATGTTTATTTGATAGAAATCCCACAAAAATACTCAACTTTATTGATAATCGTTGAATATAATTGTTACATGAACCTTTACAACTTACAACTTACTAACTTTACGAAGACCCAATACCACCCATTTATATTCTACTCATATAAAAGTTAGTATTTAAACAAAATGCATATTATAAATCTTAAAAGTAATCGATACACCAAATATGAAATATTCAGAATAATATAACTTAATGTCTATAAGATAAAATTGAAGTCTTAATTTTTTTTTGGCATGTCGTGAAAACACCTAATATATAAAGGAATTATTATTTTTTGTGAATTGTACGAAATATGATGCAAAATATATTCGCACTTATTTTAAACAAATCTGTATAATGGAAATGGTAAAATTTTTTTTAAATTGTTATTAGGTCACAGGACCAGTTGATTTTAAGAAATATC